AAATATATTCAAGGCTGGGCATGGTGGTGCACGCCTTTAATCCCAGCACTTGGGAGGCAGAGGCAGGTGGATCTTTGTGAGTTCGAGGCCACCCTGGTTTACATAGTGAGTTCCAGGACACCTGGGGCTATAAGGAGACCCTGTCTCAAAGAGACCAAAATAAATAATAAATAAATAAATAAATAAATAAATGAAATATTTTTTAAAAAAACAAACTAGTGCATGGTGGCACTTGTCTTTAATCCCAGCACTGAGGAGGCAGAGATCTCTGTGAAATGGAGGCCAGCTTGGTCTACACAGCAAGTTCCAGGCCAGCTGTGACTACAGGGAGACCCTGTCTCAAACATATGGAAACAAGCTTGGGGTGGTGGTGCAGACCTTTAAAAACCCCAGCACTTGGGAGGCAGGGGCAGATGGATCTCTGTGAGTTCAAGGCCAGCCTGGTATACATAGTGAGTTCCAGGCGGGCTAGGGCTACAGAGAGACCCTGTCTCAAAAAGACCAAAGACACACACAAAAAACAAACCAAAACAAAACCAAACCCCAAAACACAGGCCTCCATGTTGCACTGTTATGGAAGAGCATTTATAGTCTCTCTCTGGAATTTATACACCTGGCAACCCTGAAATCCATTCCTAACTAATCCCAGATCCTTTTCCTCCAGCACCGAGGCTGGATCCCCTCCTGTGCTATGAGAAACTTACTCTCATCAGTGTTGCTCGGAGCTAATTTGTGAGACACCGGGGATCCGCCTTCTTCGCTCCAACGTGAACTCCTGGAAATCCATCTGATGAAGAGAGCCGAGAACACAGATATGGCACACCTGATCACTCTTTTATTGGAAGGGCTAGGCATTGCTGCACTTTACAAGCCTGTGAGCCCTGGGAAATTTCAAGTTGAATATTCAGCTGATTTCCCTTCACTGCATACTCGCCATAAATGAAGCCACGTGTACGACAAATATGCCGACGCCAGTAGACCTGGATAATGCGGACAGCTTTTAGCAAGCGACAGTATCGTTGACGGATCTGCTGCATTCGGACCCAGGACTGCAGTGTTACAGCTGCCCATGTTTCCCGAACATATATTTCCAAAGCCACCCGCCGTCTCTTCTCCTTCCTCGTCTCCAGTATGTTCCTCCACCAGATCTGGATGATCCACGCGCTGAGGGCGGCATGTAGCAGAGCACGGCGCACCAGGGTACCGCGCCACCATGCTTGGATGAGCACAGCCGCAGATGTTTCTGTCATAGGAGTCTTCTCTCCTGGACCTTGTAAGAGAAAACAGAAAATGATGCCAAGGACACGGGAAACTCAGGGTGTGCCAGGCAGGTTATCCTGATCCTCCTTCAAAGAAGTACAGAAACCACAGGAGCTGGGCAGGACCTCAGTTGGACCCAGGAGACCAGGTAGGCTGACCTGCCTCTGCTTTATACGCATGAAGTCATCGCTGACCTCTGAGTTTACATGTGCCTATCAGTAAAGTGGGGGTACATCTGCCCTAGCTATGGCCCCTTTTCCATGAGCCTGCCTAGCTGGCTAGTCTAGAGCAAGACACTATGATTTAGAAGTAAAAAGCCTTCAAGATTCACTTGGGCAGAACCACCTACCTGGAACTGGTGACCTTCTGTTCAACTCCCTCCCAGTTACCAAGAACTGTCACCCACTCATGTTATCAACACCTTCAACTTCATTTAGCACATATATCAATACAAGAATACACATGCACACACACAACACATAACATACATTTTTAGAATGGGTTTTCTTCATTTTCTTTGATGACAATTTTTTTTTTAAAGATTGTCTCTCACTTTCTATCCCAGGCTGGCCTGGAGCCCAGCACGTAGCCTACTCTGGCCTCAGCTTCTCAAGTACTAACATTGCTCATACCTGGTTCTGATGATAACTTAAACTATCCTTCTGTGCTTGAAGTTCAGGAGAAAAACATGGGAGAAGGTAAGAGTGCTCCCCCTGGTGCCAAGACAACAAGACTCAATGTCCTGACCTTGGGGCACTGGACATAGAGATCCCCTCCTGTGCCATGAGAAACTTACCCTCCCCTCAGGTGTATCCAACCTTTTGACTTTGTGAAATGGTGTTATCATCCACAAAGTTCAAATTCAATAACCACACAATTGAGTTACAAAATAAAATCACAAAAATAAAATTATCATATTTTAAGTATACAATTTTGTGTTGGGCCATATTCATAGCTACCCTTGTCCACATACAGCCAATGAGTTGCTGTTGAACACACCTGGATAGAGGTATCTTTTGTTAAGCATTCAATATGCTGACTTAGGGATGGAGGGTCAACCCCCTTCAGATCTGTACTCTACTAAATTACCCATTGTTATGGACTAGATGGTTCCGTCACCCTCCAGTCTGCACTCCTGCAGCTCTGCTCCAGCAGAAAGAGTAAATATAGGGGAGAGCAGTGATGTCATAAGGACATTTATGATGCAGGTACCAGAATGGCTTCTAACAGTGTTCGCAGCACCCTGAGGGGTATGTGATCAGCTATGAAGGGAGGATCCATTACACCCACACACAGATCCATGTCGTCCATCTCTTTATGCCATTCAGATCTACTGCTTCCCACAGTAAGTTTTTACCACTTAAAAATAGCTTCTTTGGGGCCTTGGAAAGATGGCTTAGCAGTTAAGAGCACTTGATGCTCTTGCAGAGGACATGGGTTCAGTTCCCAGCACCCACATGGTGGCTCACAACCATTGGTAACTCCAGTCTCAGGGAATCCAATGCCCTCTTCTGGCCTCCACTGGCACCAGGCACATATGTTGCTAGTCCATACTCAGTTTCAAACCAAGAAGAAAAAATAGTCACACTTTAGTATAATGACCAAAACTTTGGCCTCATTATATGTGGTGATTTGAATGAGAAATGTCCTCCATAGGCTCAGGTGTTTGAACCCTTGGTCCCTATTTAGTAATGCTGTTTGGGGAGGTTTAGGAGGTACAGCCTTACTGGAATGAAGTATGTCACTGGGGGAAGGTTGAGGAGTTCATAGTCTCAACCCACTTCCAGGTGGCTCTCTGCTTGGTGTTTTTGGTTGAAGATGGATCTCTCGACTTCCCTGCTGCCATGCCTCTCTCACCACTATGACTTCTCCCTCTGGAACCATAATCCAAAATAAACTCTTTCTTCCATAAGTTGCGTTTTGCTCATGGTGTTTTATTACAAGAGAAAAGTTACTACTGATATTATTCAATGGCATTAAAGCTGTGCTAAAAAAAAAAAAAATACAGTATTCATCAGGCATGGTGCTGTGTGCCTGTAATGCCATCCTTTGGAAGGCCAAAACAGGAAAATTGTAGATTTAAGTTTACAGGTTTACTGAGAGCCCCTCCAACTCCAAAAAAGGGAATAAAGCATTAATATATCAATGTGATAATTAGTGTTGTCAACTTGACAGAATCTATAATCCCCTGAGATATGGGTCTGTGGTCATATCTGTGGGGAATTATCTTGATTATATTAATTGATGTGGGAAGACCCATCTTAATTTTTATAGGGGATCCTGGGCTGTATAAACGCAGAAATGGAGATGGACTGTGCCTACTGTGGTCCAAAATAAACCCTTTCTCTTTTAAGTTACCTTTGTGAGAGTATTTTATCACAGCACTATGAAAGAAACTAATATAAATCAATCTTAGCAAATTAAGCAACCCCAGCTCACAGAAAAGTGATGATCATTTTCAATGGCAAAACATCACAGGAAAATTTCTTTTAAAAACTAAAATGTAAAAATGAATTTCCAGCTTGCTCATTTACTAGCCAAACAAGGAAAGCTGTTACCAGCAGTGAGTTCATTAAATCAGTTTGATTTCAGCAGCTGAAGAAACATGGCCAGAGAAAATAAACTTAGCATTATTAGCCTTTCAAAAAAAATTGATGCTCAGAGAATTAAAGACATGAGGGGAAAACAGCAATAGTCAATTTTAAAACAAGGCAAATGTTTTCAAGTGGCTTTCTTTGGCTCTTAATGAGCTGACAGATGTGCCGGTACCAACCCAGCTGTTATTTATTTAAAGGGCAAATATCAACTTTGAAGTATCTGAGCACAAACCTCTATAAATAGCATGTAGGAAACAAATATGTGAAAATATTCATTGAAGAAGTTGAGGGGGAAAAAAACTGACAAAATCACTTAACCTGGAATCTTCTATGAAATTGTAAACCTGATAGCAGCAAAAATATGAGTAGGACCAAAAAAAAAAAGGCTTAACTGGACAACATTACAAAGCTTTGAAATATTGAAATGCTGAGGATGAGCTCAGTGACAGAGTGCTTGTCTAGCATGTGTGAGGCCCTGGGGATTCAATCCCAGTACCAGAGACAAAAATGTGAGGTGCTTAAAGCCTATGGCTGTTCATTGCACTATTAGCCGTCCGTAGGAATGTGATAGAAAATCATGGAATCTATAGTTGCAGCATGTTACTGGGAAACTTTACTTGGCATTATTGATTTAACTATCATCAGTTTCATGAATTTTAGTCAGAAATAAAAGCTAAATGAGCTGATTTGTCCAACCACACTGAGGTTCCATGGCTTAGCAGTGATAAGATTTGACTGAGTCAGGCTGGAGAGATGGCTCAGCGGTTAAGAACATTGGCTGCTCTTGCAGAGGGCCTGGATTCGGTTCCCAGCACTTACATGGTAGCTAACAGTCATTCATAACTCCAGTTCCAGGGGATCTGACACTATCTTCTGACTTCTGCATGCGTTGTAGTACACTTATATACATGCAGACAAAACATATATGCATTAAAAATAAATAATTTTTGCCTAAAAAGAATTTTGACTAAGATTAAAATGTTCTAAATGAGGCTGGGCATGGTGGCACACGCCTTTGATCCCAGGCAGAGGCAGGCGGATCTCTGTGAATTCAAGTCCAGCCTGATCCACATAGTGAGTTCTAGGACAGCTGGGACTACAGGGAGACCCTGTCTCAAAAAGACCCAAAAAAAAAGTTCTAAATGAGAAAAAATGCTTGACTCTACTAATATCAAACACTAAACAACCCTGAAAATAAACAATGTCCTAGTTACTTCCAATTGCTGTGATAAAAACACGGCCAAAACCAACTTGAGGAGGAAAGGGTTTATTTTATTGTACATCTCCCAAGTCACAGTTCATTACTGAGAGAGGCATGCACCACCATACCCAGCCAGCCTGCTTTCTTATACAACACAAGACCGTCTATCTGCCCAGTGGTGGCATTGATCAATCAAGAAAATGTTCCAAAGTCATGGCCACAGGCCAGTCCAATGGAGACATTCCTCAGTTGAGGTTTCCTCTAACCAGGTGTTGTCAAGTTGACAACTAAGTTATCCAGTACAAACTGCTTCTGTGATCTTTGTACTTATTTTTTAGGATTTTTTAAATTAGCATACAAAATAATGAGTTTCATTATGGCATCTTCATACATACTTCATTCTTGGGAGAAGTTGTGTGTGTATGCATGTGTATGAATGTGTGTATGTTCAGGAGCACATTTGTACATGTGCGTGTGTATGTAATAAAAACCAGAGTGTCATTCCTCAGGCACCTTGGATTTGTTGCTATTTAAATTTTTATTTATTTTTACACGTGTGTGTGTGTGTGTGTGTGTGTGTGTGTGTTCAGGCACATGTGTGGAGATCAGAAGACAACTTCCGGGAGTCAGTTCTCTCCTTCCACCTTGTTGAGGCAGGGTCTGTCTTGTTTCTGTCAAGTTCCAGGCTACCTGGCCTGCAAGTTTCAAGGAGATTCCCCTGTCTCTGCCTCTTATCCTCCCATAAGAGTGCTAGGGTTCATCAAATCCTTTTAAATTCCATGTCCTTTTAATAAGATGATGCTGTACAGCAGTCTCTACTGCATGAAATAACTACCATCATCTTGACTTCAGCTGTGCCTGATCGCTAAACATCATCACAATTGGGCTTGTTGACGGTTGTGCTCATTCATTAAAGGAGGGCCAAGCAGGGTCATTGGACCCTCACTGGATTATCCAGCCACTCCTCCCAGCCAACTATATGTAATTTGGCCCTAATCACACATGGTCTCCTGGATTTGGGGAGGGCTAAAGTATTCAATCTGGGGAAGGCTAGGAAGAGAAGGCATGACCCATGCTGGGAAAAGGCTTTCCAGTGCGCATACCCTCAGGTCATACATACACCTCAGCAACCCCTCAGTTATCTTGGTAAGTAAGCTCAATAAATTCATTGATTCCCCAGTAAAACTTTAATCAAACATTGGCTTGACACTAGAACCTTAAAAGGGAATAAGCATTGCTTAGTCTCCCCAGGAAAAGAATTCTCACAACAGATGGAAAATTTATTTGTTAATGCTATTATGTCTCGTAATTATTTTTTTTAAAAGAAAATGAGATTGTAATAGATGTTAAAAGGACATGGGAATGGAGATATTTTCCAAAATAGAAAAAACAAGAAACCAGTGTTCTTAACCGCTGAGCTATCTCTCCAGCCCCACTTCCTCCTTTTTAAGACCTTTCCTCTCATGTCTTCATGGTTTAAAAAAATTGCAAGTATTCATATTGTGCAATGCTGACAGAGGCCAGAAGAGAGTGTTTGATCCCCTGGAACTGGAGTTATGGACAGTTGTTATCTACCATGTGGGTGCTGGGAACTGAACCTAGCTCCTCTGTAAGAGCAGCCAGTACTCTTAATCTCTCTGAGCCCCTGTCCTTGGGTTTCCTAATGAATTAAACCTAAAATTAAAGAGTAAAACCATGGGGCTTATGGATAAAATATGTACTCTGGTAAAGTCATCATAAGAACTAATTTTGAATCACAAATAATGTCAAGCTTTTCTATGTACCTCCTGAACTAAAGTTTTTTTGGTTTTTTTTTTTTTTTGGTTTTTTTTTTTTTGGTCTTTTTAAGACAGAGTGTCCCTGTACCCCAGCTGACCTGGAATTAGCTATGTAGACCAGATTGGCCTCGGACTCACAGAGATCCACCTGCCTCTGCCTCCCAAGTGCTGGGACTAAAGGCATGCGCCACCAGCCCAGGAAACTAAAGTTTTTAAAAGAAGCAAAATACCCATTCCCATACAAATTTGCTACAAATACATCTTCTGAGTTAAATATAGGTGTAGCAGCAACTGTTTTTCAGTTTTTAATTTTTTCCATGAAAATATAAGGGCAGTTTCTAGATTTCTAGATATATTTGTCAAGCAACTGAAGACCACCTACATTTCAACCAGAGCTAATCTACAATATAATGACACACAAGGACAAATATCAAGAGACTCTTACAGAACTCTATAAATTTCTCCCAAATGATGAATATTCTCAATCAAGATGATCTGTTCATGGATTTATATCAGT